ATGAAATCCAAGTACTGGTCGGTGTTCGCCACATTTTTTGCAATGGGGGTTGGGGCTACAAGCAATCCACTAGGACCAGTTTATTTTTGTCTCTCTACACCCCTGGTTGTGGTTTGCTGTCGCGATTGTTATATTTTTCTGGTGCTCTCCTTGATGGACGCTTGTGTTTACCCTAGTTGGGGAGTTGGCCTATGACCACAAAATGGAAATGTTTCTATCGAAGGTTTTGCATCAGTTTACCGAACTGGGTAGGTTATGCAGGCAGGGTGCAGGTGCTGGTTACAACGTCTCATTTGCAGTGCGCTCTCGGTACGAGGTTGTTGTTGTTTTTGTTTGTTTTTCTCCCATCATTGGACTCTGTCGTCTGCCCCTCTGGCCCCTATCCTCCACTTCTACTAGCTAGACGACCCAACCGGGGTCACATAGGAGGGGGGGGTTGGACCCCCTCCTGCGGTTCATGCCTGAGGTATTTTTATCCCGAGAAGGGTACAGCAATCCCTTCCCTTGCGACTTACGAAGTCGATTATGGTTTACTATCAAACGAGCTTTGCAGCGCATCGCTTTCATCCTAGACCAGGATTATTTAGTGAGAAAAACCTCTCGCTGTCGGGACTCGAACCCATGACCTGGCCCTTAGGGCCGTTTTAAACGGACCGACTTTTTGTCAAAATTTTTGAAAGTGTCAAAAAAATGGAACCTGTATGTAGGCGTTTGTCCATATTTTTCAAAATATTTGGAACGAAGTTGGGCGCGAAAACTTTGCTCCACTTCGTTCCAACTTTTTGACAACCCTCTCAAAGTATTTGGAGCACTTTCCAAAGTACCCTTGCAGAGGCACGCGAGGGCTGCTGCGTCTGCACCACGAGTGCCCCTCACCGTAGAAAGTCAGCTAGGGTTGTGTGTGAGTCATCTGTCGCTGTCGCTATTGCTATCGTCGCTGTTGCCAACGTTGACGATGCTGTCTGCTGTTGCTGTGTCGTCCGAAAAACGGCGGTCCGCCATGATGGCTTGCAGTTGTTGCTTCGCGTCCGCCGCTTTGTTTTTTCCTTTTCCCGGGGGGGTAGGAGCAGTGGTTGCCACCCCTCGCCGGCGGCCTGCTCCACCCTCGCTCTGAGTGTTGGTGGCGGCAGCGCCTCCCGTGGTAACATGAGTGTTCCCCGAGATGCCAGGCAGCAGCACTATCTTGCTGGAGAGCACGCCTCCACCGCCTACGGCAGCACCGAGAGAGCCCGTCTGCTAGAATTTCGCCGGGGTTTTGGTCTGCCGGCCACGCTGGGTGGTCGTGATATCCATGTCGGTGTCCATGATGTCGTGTTTTCCGCGGTTTGTGTTGTGTCGTGTGTGTTCTCTCGAAGTGAGCGCTACAACTCACGGACGGCGTCATTTTTTTCGACACAAGTTGCACAAGTCCACGTCACACGTTTAAAATGACTGCACACAGGTTCCAAGTTTTTGAAAGACAAATGTCGAAAATTTTGACAAATAAGTCGGTCCGTTTAAAACGGCCGTTAGCAGGGTGTGAGGCTACCCACTAGACCACCGGGGCGACCGGGGTTGGGTTTTGTCCCCGTCCACCATTTATGTATGTGGTACGCCGTGATCTAGGTGCAGTACGCCGCTCTCCCTGTTTGTTCTTTTACGTTCTACGCTTTTTGTAACCGGACCTTTGTACACTATCTGAGTCGCCTGTTGGTCGACAGCTAAGTGAAGTGGGCGACTAGAACCACCGCAAGTGGCATGGCAGTGGCAACCCCAGCGGTGAATGTAGGAGGAATAGATCATAATCGTGCACTTTTAATGTTGTCTGGATGAGTGAAGGGGTTTGGCACCGCCTACCGAACGAGAATGTTCCTACTTATTCCCCTCGTCCGCCTGATGTGTCTGACTGGGACCTTCAATTCTTTTATTCATGTGTTTAGGTCTAAGCCAAGACCTGGGCC